AGACTATAGACTAGTCTATAGACTAGTCTGTATAGACAAGACTATAGACTAGACTATAGACTAGACTTTAGACTAGACTATAGACTAGACTATAGACTAGACTATAGACTAGACTATAGACTAGACTATAGACTAGACTATAGACTAGACTATAGACTAGACTATAGACTAGACTATAGACTAGACTATAGACTAGACTATAGACTAGACTATAGACTAGACTATAGACTAGACTATAGACTAGACTATAGACTAGACTATAGACTAGACTATAGACTAGACTATAGACTAGACTATAGACTAGACTATAGACTAGACTATAGACTAGACTATAGACTAGACTATAGACTAGACTATAGACTATACTATAGACTAGACTAGAGTAGACTATAGACTAGAGTAGACTATAGACTAGACTATCTATAGACTAGACTATCTAAAGACTAGACTATAGACTAGACTATAGACTAGACTATAGATTAGACTATGGACTAGACTATAGACCAGACCATAGACTAGACTAGCTAGACTAGACTATGGACTAGACTATAGGCTAGACTATAGGCTAGACTAGACTATAGTCTAGACTAAGTATAGACTTTAGACTAGACTATAGACTAGACTATAAACTAGACTATATATGAGGTTAAGGAATACTTCAAATAACTTTCCATAAGTGTTGATAGCAAGCATCCCCTTATTCACTTGTTAATGCTGTTTCTATGTTCACACTACATTACTCACTCCTTTTAGCAAAAAGTGACCTTTTTAATCCTCTCAATTAATAAAATTCAATGTAGTTGATTATTGCTTCCTTATCGGCGTGTGTTAATAAACCAGTGCAAATCATATTATCGTTGTGATAATAAAGAGGCGTTGCAAAAACATGAGAAGGAGTATTAAAAAATGTTTGATAAAAAAGGAAAAATGTTGTTCCTTAAAAAGGGAAAATGTGAAAAAAGTCATTATAATTATGAAATTGTTACAATTGTTAAGTGGCCATTAGAAAAAACTGTGGGAAAACAAGGAAAAGTTTAATCCTTTTTTTACAGGATTTTCCACAATATTTGTAAATTATTAATTAATAAAAAATAGAAGAAATTCAAAAAATTTTAAAAAAATAAAAGAAAATTAATTTCTTTTAAAAAAATTTGAATTTTTGAAAATTTTACATTTTAGAAGTTCTTAAAAAAGTTAAAAAAGTTTTTATCTTTATCTGTAAACTCTATTTAATTTCATTCTAAAACTAGGATTTAACAAAATTTTTTATCTGTATTGCTAACACGTGCTTATTTGTTGTCACGTGTTGTTATTATTATTGATCATTTAAAGTCACTTTTTTACTTCATATATAAAACAGACTGCAATCCACAAATTTGATTTCTATTACTCAAAAAATAAACAAACAAAAAATCAACCCCCTTTTCTTCCCACTTTGTGGGAAGTTTTACTACGATTTACTACTAATTTGATATTGATATTTTTCTTCCTATTAGATTTTCATCTCCTGACGATATGAGATATATAATCCTATTAGTGACACAATTATGTGGCATAAGTTAAGAGAGCAACGGGTGTCAAAATATCTATTTAATTTAATCTAACGTGTGACTTTTTAGATGAACGTTTGTTGGGTTCTAATTAAAGGACATTTTGGTCTATTGCTTTCCTTCTCTTTCCCTCTTTGTTATAGTACTTTAGTTATCTAATAACTTGTGTATTTATTCATTACATATACGTTACTTTTTAACTGTGATACAGATTAAGAGCAGGTTCTCATGCCACAAATAGTTTGGTGGCTGTTGTCCGTTATTATCCTTAAATTAGTTGTTGATAGAGGGTGACAAATTGGTTTGAAGTGTTTTATTTGGGAATTTTAAGTCTATAGTGTAGTCTATAGTGTAGTCTATAGTCTATTCTATAGTGTAGTCTATAGTGTAGTCTATAGTGTAGTCTATAGTCTAGTCTATAGTCTAGTCTACAGTCTAGTCTACAGTCTAGTCTATAGTCTAGTCTATAGTCTAGTCTATAGTCTAGTCTATAGTCTAGTCTATAGTCTAGTCTATAGTCTAGTCTATAGTCTAGTCTATAGTCTAGTCTATAGTCTAGTCTATAGTCTAGTCTATAGTCTAGTCTATAGTCTAGTCTATAGTCTAGTCTATAGTCTAGTCTATAGTCTAGTCTATAGTCTAGTCTATAGTCTAGTCTATAGTCTAGTCTATAGTCTAGTCTATAGTCTAGTCTATAGTCTAGTCTATAGTCTAGTCTATAGTCTAGTCTATAGTCTAGTCTATAGTCTAGTCTATAGTCTAGTCTATAGTCTAGTCTATAGTCTAGTCTATAGTCTAGTCTATAGTCTAGTCTATAGTCTAGTCTATAGTCTAGTCTATAGTCTAGTCTATAGTCTAGTCTATAGTCTAGTCTATAGTCTAGTATATAGTCTAGTCTATAGTCTAGTCTATAGTCTAGTCTATAGTCTAGTCTACAGTCTAGTCTATAGTCTAGTCTATAGTCTAGTCTATAGTCTAGTCTATAGTCTAGTCTATAGTCTAGTCTATAGTCTAGTCTATAGTCTAGTCTATAGTCTAGTCTACAGTCTAGTCTATAGTCTAGTCTATAGTCTAGTCTATAGTCTAGTCTATAGTCTAGTCTATAGTCTAGTCTATAGTCTAGTCTATAGTCTAGTCTATAGTCTAGTCTATAGTCTAGTCTATAGTCTAGTTCATAGTCTAGTTCATAGTCTAGTTCATAGTCTAGTTCATAGTCTAGTCTAGAGTACAGTCTAGTCTATAGTCTAGTCTATAGTCTAGTCTATAGTCTAGTCTATAGTCTAGTCTATAGTCTAGTCTATAGTCTAGTCTATAGTCTAGTCTATAGTCTAGTCTATAGTTTAGTCTATAGTCTAGTCTATAGTCTAGTCTATAGTCTAGTCTATAGTCTAGTCTATAGTCTAGTCTATAGTCTAGTCTATAGTCTAGTCTATAGTCTAGTCTATAGTCTAGTCTATAGTCTAGTCTATAGTCTAGTCTATAGTCTAGTCTATAGTCTAGTCTATAGTCTAGTCTATAGTCTAGTCTATAGTCTAGTCTATAGTCTAGTCTATAGTCTAGTCTATAGTCTAGTCTATAGTCTAGTCTATAGTCTAGTCTATAGTCTAGTCTATAGTCTAGTCTATAGTCTAGTCTATAGTCTAGTCTATAGTCTAGTCTATAGTCTAGTCTATAGTCTAGTCTATAGTCTAGTCTATAGTCTAGTCTATAGTCTAGTCTATAGTCTAGTCTATAGTCTAGTCTATAGTCTAGTCTATAGTCTAGTCTATAGTCTAGTCTATAGTCTAGTCTATAGTCTAGTCTATAGTCTAGTCTATAGTCTAGTCTATAGTCTAGTCTATAGTCTAGTCTATAGTCTAGTCTATAGTCTAGTCTATAGTCTAGTCTATAGTCTAGTCTAGTCTAGTCTAGTCTATAGTCTAGTCTATAGTCTAGTCTATAGTCTAGTCTATAGTCTAGTCTAGTCTAGTCTAGTCTAGTCTAGTCTATAGTCTAGTCTATAGTCTGGTCTATAGTCTAGTCTATAGTCTGGTCTATAGTCTGGTCTATAGTCTGGTCTATAGTCTGGTCTATAGTCTAGTCTATAGTCTAGTCTATAGTCTAGTCTATAGTCTAGTCTATAGTCTAGTCTATAGTCTAGTCTATAGTCTAGTCTATAGTCTAGTCTATAGTCTAGTCTATAGTCTAGTCTATAGTCTAGTCTATAGTCTAGTCTATAGTCTAGTCTATAGTCTAGTCTATAGTCTAGTCTATAGTCTAGTCTATAGTCTAGTCTATAGTCTAGTCTATAGTCTAGTCTATAGTCTAGTCTATAGTCTAGTCTATAGTCTAGTCTATAGTCTAGTCTATAGTCTAGTCTATAGTCTAGTCTATAGTCTAGTCTATAGTCTAGTCTATAGTCTAGTCTATAGTCTAGTCTATAGTCTAGTCTATAGTCTAGTCTATAGTCTAGTCTATAGTCTAGTCTAGTCTAGTCTATAGTCTGTTGTCTAGTCTATAGTCTGTTGTCTAGTCTATAGTTTGGTCTATAGTCTAGTCTATAATCTAGTCTATAGTGTAGTCTACAATCTAGTCTACAGTCTAGTCTATGGTCTAGTCTATAGTCTAATCGGTAGTCCAGTCTGTAATTTATAGTCTATATTTACCCGCAAGGGTATCCTCTAGAGAGGATAACGGGCGTAACGACCCCGCGGTCCCTGATGTTATGTAGGAGTAAGGAACTCTCGACAGGACATACTGCGCATGTAGAAATAGTCTATATGTCTAGTCAAAAAAACTGGTCTATTGTCTACTTTGGTTTATAATGAAGTTTATAGTCTGGTCTATAGTATATTTTGTAGTGTATTGTCTATAGTCTAGTTTATGGCCTGGTCTATGTATATCTAGTATACGGTCTAGTCTACAGTCTAGTCTGTAGTATAATCTATGGTCTAGTTTATAGACTAATCTTTGGTATAGTTTATAATTTAGTCTATAGTCTAGTCTTTGTTAAGTCTGTATTCTGGTCTATAACTTCAATAAAAACTTCAATTGGGAGAGAAAAATGTTAAGCTTTCTAGAAATCTTTATAGTGAAGTCAAAAAACCATCACACGAAAAGTTTTCTTGACAAAAAAATAGATGGAGCCACTGGAAAATTGCCAACATTAACATAAACCATCACTAAAACATTAAACTTTTTAAAGTTTAAAAGCTTTTCCTCAGGCATATTCCATAACTTTAGCATAGACATTTACTATCGCAAATGTATAGAACTTTGTAGAAGTTTGAATGCAAATTTTGTCTGCTTTTGATTGAAATTTAGTCAAGTTCAGAACCATCACTGAGAGGTCTTACCTTCAAAATGCGGTTGCGTCAGTTTCCCTTATTTTGTATTATTTCTTAAATAAAACTCCGTTTTTTTCATAATATTTTTTTAATTTAATAATTATTTTTCTACTAAATAATTTAGTTATAATTTTATAAACATACATATACAAATCAAGGTAGTAACATGGACAAGAAATGGGATCTTAAGACTAAAATTTGTTTGAAACTCTGTTTGTAGGGCTTATCAATTACATTTTAAATTTATTTTATAAATTTGAATTAAAACTAAAGATTTTTACTCCTACATTCTAGATGAAGAAAGAAAAGTGTAAAGAGAGTTCACAAACACTTTTCTTAAGACATCTAGAATCGGAAAACTAACTAGATATATAATTTAAATAAAACATTATTTGGTCTATGGTTAATAATCGAGTTCAAAAAAAGCGTTTCTTTTGGGGAAGTGTTACTTTATCTAAACTACACATTTATTTAAAAAAATCATCAAATAAATATTTTCTATTTTCCAAGTTTTCTCTCAAATTTGCTCTCTCGATAGTTCTTCTATGGTGCGGGCATTGGTGAGTGTTACCCATAAGGGCGCTTGTATGCTGGATAACGAATAACTGTGTTCAGCATCTAGAGAACGTGATTTACGCATAGATGAGGCTCTAGGAGTTGCCTTACGTGTTAGCGGTCTTTGTTCTCCTATACGCTTTTGCCGTTTTAGGGTAAATTGTCTGGGACTTAAGGTAGACATGGGATATTCATTGTGTGTTTGTAAATATTTCACTTTAACTCTCTGTGTATTATCGGCGGATTGCGATTTTGAACTTAACGTTAGAGGTGGTGAACGTGATGTTGTTTTCACATTTATATTTGAGGGCAAGGGCAGCTCTTTTGTTGTTGTTGTTGCTGTGCTGGCTGTTGCTGTTAACGTTGTAGTTAAGGCTTTAGTATTTATAGGACTTGCTATTTTCACGGGCATTTGCTAGCTGCTGGAAAAGGACATTTTATAGGATGTGGTTGAAGATTCCATGGGTGAGTCAGGATTTAAAATTTCTGTTTGGGTCTGCTCTACATCACTGCAGCGTTCCTCTACCACGGTATCTAGTTCCAAAGAGGTAAAACCCTGGCTTAGGCTTCGTTCAGGACGTAGACTGATAGCTCGCGACGATCGGTAATCTAAAACAGAAAAAGCGAAATAGTTAAATCAGAGTTTAACTTGAAAGATAATCACAGCTTAAGCTTAACTATAGTTTCTAATAAACTATTAAAATATTAAAAAAGTGAAGCATACTTATAGGTGTTGATCTAATAATTTAAGATTGCATTCTCTAATATTTTATAGAAGTTAAAAGTCTATTCTTTAACTAAGTTTTTAAACTATTACACTCTAATGTTGAAATCATAACATTGCATACTTTAGGTCATAGTTTGAATACAATATTACTTACCTACATTTAGGAGTAAAATATTTAAAATCTAGATTACAGTCTAGTCTAGTCTATAGTCCAGACTATAGTCTGAACTAAAAGTCCTGTCCGTCACTTAGACAATATATAGTCTATTCTGTAGTCTGAAGTCCAGTCTGTCACTTTGCTATAGACTAGACTATAGACTAGGCTATAGATTAGACTATAGACTAGACTATAGACTAGACTATAGACTAGACTATAGACTAGACTATAGGCTAGACTACAGACTAGACTATAGACTAGACTATAGACTAGACTATAGACTAGACTATAGACTAGACTATAGACTAGACTATAGACTAGACTATAGACTAGACTATAGACTAGACTATAGACTAGACTATAGACTAGACTATAGACTAGACTATAGACTAGACTATAGACTAGACTAGACTAGACTAGACTATAGACTAGACTATAGACTAGACTATAGACTAGACTATAGACTAGACTAGACTATAGACTAGACTATAGACTAGACTATAGACTAGACTATAGACTAGACTATAGACTAGACTATAGACTAGACTATAGACTAGACTATAGACTAGACTATAGACTAGACTATAGACTAGACTATAGACTAGACTATAGACTAGACTATAGACTAGACTAGACTAGACTATAGACTATAGACTAGACTATAGACTAGACTAGACTGGACTATAGACTAGACTTTAGATTAGGCTATAGACTAGACTATAGACTAGACTATAGACTAGATTATATACTAGACTATAGACTAGATTATAGACTAGACTATAGACTAGACTATAGACTAGACTATAGACTAGACTATAGACTAGACTATAGACTAGACTATTGACTAGACTATAGACTAGACTATAGACTAGACTAGACTAGACTATAGACTAGACTATAGACTAGACTATAGACTAGACTATAGACTAGACTATAGACTAGACTATAGACTAGACTATAGACTAGACTATAGACTAGACTATAGACTAGACTATAGACTAGACTATAGACTAGACTATAGACTAGACTATAGACTAGACTATAGACTAGACTATAGACTAGACTAGACTATAGACTATACTATAGACTAACTATAGACTAGACTATAGACTAGACTATAGACTAGACTATAGACTAGACTATAGACTAGACTATAGACTAGACTTAGACTAGACTATAGACTAGACTATAGACTAGACTATAGACTAGACTATAGACTAGACTATAGACTAGACTATAGACTAGACTATAGACTAGACTATAGACTAACTACTATAGACTAGACTATAGACTAGACTATAGACTAGACTATAGACTAGACTATAGACTAGACTATAGACTATACTGACTATAGACTAGACTATAGACTAGACTATAGACTAGACTATAGACTGACTATAGACTAGACTATAGACTAGACTATAGACTAAGACTATAGACTAGACTATAGACTAGGACTAATAGACTAGACTATAGACTAGACTATAACCTAGACTATAGACTAGACTATAGTCTATAGACTAGACTATAGTCTATTAGACTAGTCTAAAGACTACACTAGAGTGATTTTCAGAAAAAAAATTGATTTCTCCTTTTCATAAAACAATTTTTCACATTTAGTTTTCTTCATTTCCTCCCTTCTTCTCTCTTCCATTTTAATTAAACTACTCAGATATTATTATCTTCTAATACCAAAAAACAATTCCCTATTCAATATAGTGAGAAAATGACAAATCGATGCAAATGTAAAAATCGAAAAAACAATCATCATTATCGTTTATAAAACACCAAAAAAAATGATTGAAATGACAGAATTGTCATACAGCAATAAGGAAGAATACGAGATAAAGAAAAGAATTTGTGAAAAAAATTTTGGTAATAAATAGAGGGATAAAAAAAGAAACAAAATAATGTAATAGAATTTTATTGAATACAATTTAACAAAAATATCTGAGAAAATACAAATAGAAAATGGTATAAAAAAAGTTATGAAACAAAATAAGGATAATTGAAAAGGCAATTCTGCCAAGTGAGCTACATACATATCTACATGTGGATATAATGGTTAAAAGCAGAACAATTTGAAAGAATTAAATAATATCTTTAAAGAGATGCGTGGGAAAATTTATGAAAATTTATATAAATTGAGTAATTTCGAGCTAAATATCCAAATTTCGAACATGAGCTAAAAAACTATAGACTAGACTATAGTCGGGACTATAGACTAGACTAGACTAGAGTCGAGATTATAGACTAGAGTATAGACTAGACTAAAGACTATACTATAGACTAGACTATAGACTAGATTAAAGACTATACTATAGACTAGACTAAAGACTATAGACTAGACTATAGACTAGACTATAGACTAGACTATAGACTAGACTATAGACTAGACTATAGACTAGACTATAGACTAGACTATAGGCTAGACTATAGACTAGACTATAGACTAGACTATAGACTAGACTATAGACTAGACTATAGACTAGACTATAGACTGGACTATAGACTAGACTATAGACTAGACTATAGACTAGACTATAGACTAGACTATAGACTAGACTATAGACTAGACTATAGACTAGACTATAGACTAGACTATAGACTAGACTATAGACTAGACTATAGACTAGACTATAGACTAGACTATAGACTAGACTATAGACTAGACTATAGACTAGACTATAGACTAGACTATAGACTAGACTATAGACTAGACTATAGACTAGACTATAGACTAGACTATAGACTAGACTATAGACTAGACTAGACTAGACTAGACTAGACTATAGACTAGACTAGACTATAGACTAGACTAGACTATAGACTAGACTATAGACTAGACTATAGACTAGACTATAGACTAGACTATAGACTACACTATAGACTAGACTATAGACTAGACTATAGACTAGACTATAGACTAGACTATAGACTAGACTATAGACTAGACTAGACTATAGACTAGACTATAGACTAGACTATAGACTAGACTATAGACTAGACTATAGACTAGACTATAGACTAGACTATAAACTAGACTATAGACTAGACTATGGACTAGACTATAGACTAGACTATGGACTAGACTATAGACTAGACTATGGACTAGACTATAAACTAGACTATAGACTACGCTATAACCTAGACTATAGAGTAGACTATAGTTAGACTATAGATTAAACTATAGACTAGACTATGGTCTAGATTATAGACTGGACTATGGACGACTAATATTGCAAAGATATATAACATTTTGTGTTTTTTATCAATTATTTATTTATTTTTTTTAAACACTGTCCTAAGTTTCCACTTCATAAATATGATGATGCGAACCAGGAAATAAAACTTCATAAATTCCTGGCTGTCAGAAGCAATTTTTTCTCACTTGTGCATAGATAATCACAATGCTAAAGTATAAAAAATTGAACATTTTCCATAAAGAAAATTAATGGACAGGCAGTAAAAAGTTATCAAGCAGCATTAACTAAATGAATTAATAAAATAAGGGAAAAAGGCATTAAATTGAAAAAAAAAGTTCAACAAACTTTTTACTGCAAGAAAAATAATTTAAGATTTTTAAAAGGTTTCTACAAACTGCAATAAAATATTAAAATTTTTAAATGTAAAAAAATTATTGCTTTAAAAACACCAGCCCCAATTAAGCCTTAATATATACTATACTTTTCACCAACTCATTATTTCAACTTACATTCATATAAAATAACATTACTATTCCAATTATAATTCTTAGAAGCAATGAAAAAATTTGTTTTTTTCCTACACATTATTTTTAAGCCTAAAATAATGCTCTAACATATTTCAAATAAATTACTCTCATAAGTATGCTTTTATTTTTATGTAAATAAATTGCTAGCTTTCACACACATGTCTATCATTAAAATTAAAAAACTCACAAAAAATATAATAATGAATTTTGTGAGAAAAAATAGTACTACAGCAAAAAAAAATTAAATCAATCATTAATGTAATGAATACTCAGGCTTTTAAAAAAGTTGCTAGGGTTTTTAATGCTGGTTGTTAATGAAAAATACCTAAAAGTATGCTTTACTTTTTTCGTTGCTACTACTAAAACAATCTGTTTATGCACATGCTTGAAATTCAATACAAATGAAATAAATTAATTGTGAATATTTTTGGTTGATTTTTGCTGTTGTTGGGTATGAAAATAAGAGAATAATTATATTGGAATTGTAATGAAATAAATTAAAAATACTTGAAAAATATAAGCAGTTGATGAGAGGCACTTTAAATGGGCTATAACTTAATGAAAAGTGGAAAAATATAAATAATTTTATATAAACTTAATATGTAATATATTTTAAGTAAACTAGACTACAGACCAGACTAAAGACTGAACGATAGAGTAAACTATAAACTAGATTACACTATAGGCTGGACAATAGACTAGAATATAAGTCAGACTATAGACTAGACTATAGACTAGACTATAGACTAGACTATAGACTAGACTATAGACTAGACTATAGACTAGACTAGACTATAGACTAGACTATAGACTAGACTATAGACTATAGACTAGACTATAGACTAGACTATAGACTAGACTATAGACTAGACTATAGACTAGACTATAGACTAGACTATAGACTAGACTATAGACTAGACTATAGACTAGACTAGACTATGGACTAGACTATAGACTAGACTATAGACTAGACTATAAACTACACTATAGACTTAACTATAGACTAGACTATAGACTAGACTATAAACTACACTATAGACTTAACTATAGACTAGACTATAGACTAGACTATAGACTAGACTATAGACTAGACTATAGACTAGACTATAGACTAGACTATAGACTAGACTATAGACTAGACTATAGACTAGACTATAGACTAGACTATAGACTAGACTATAGACTAGACTATAGACTAGACTATATACTAGACTATAGACTAGATTATAGACTAGACTATAGACTGGACTATAGACTAAACTATAGACTAGACTATGGACTTGACTATAGACTAGACTATAGACTAGACTATAGACTAGACTATAGACTTGACTATAAATTAGACTATAGACTAGATAATAGACTAGACTATATATTAGACTATAGACTAGACCATAGGCTAGACTATAGACTAGACCATAGGCTAGACTATAGTCTGGACTGGACCAGACTATAGACTAGACTATAGACTATAGTCTAGACTATAGACTAGACTATAGTCTAGACTATACACTAGACTTTAGACTAGACTATAGACTAGACTATAGACTTGACTATAAATTAGACTATAGACTAGATAATAGACTAGACTATATATTAGACTATAGACTAGACCATAGGCTAGACTATAGACTAGACCATAGGCTAGACTATAGACTGGACTGGACCAGACTATAGACTAAACTATAGACTAGACTATAGACTACACTCTAGATTATAGTCTAGACTATAGACTAGACCATAGGCTAGACTATAGACTAGACCATAGGCTAGACTATAGACTGGACTGGACCAGACTATAGACTAGACTATAGACTATAGGCTACACTATAGACTAGAATATAAACTAGAGTAGACTTTAGACTACACTATACTACATATTAGATTATAGACTAGTCTATAGACTAGACTACTAGACTTTATATATAAAAAAAAGCATTCCACTTTTATCTCTATTAAAAAACTAGTTCATTCATTTAACATTCCATAAAAGAAAAAACAAATGAAAAAAAAAACTAAAACAATACATTACGACATTCAAACTCACTAAGCCTATGTATTGGACTAAATCTGACCAGGCTAACAGCATGGTCCTGCATATCATAATTGCGTCGTCGATCACGTTCTCTAGCCAGCTTAGCACGATGTCGCAAACAGCAGATGACAATAAAAGCCAATATGGGGAAACCGAAAATGCAAGATACTATGGGTATCACAATGGATTCAGGTGAGACTGTAATGAAAAACAAAATTATGCAATATTATTATTTTATAGTTAACTAAAAGTATTTGGTTAGTAATTTTTATAGAGCTAAATTTACTAGGTTTAATAATTTTTTTTGTTTATATTTAACCTTTCTTTTATAACAGTATTTAATTAGGCGTATAAATATAATTAGCATACTTTTGGGGTTAGTTACTTTTTTAAAAATTCGCCCCAAAAGTATACTTAATGTTTTGTTTAAAAAGCATTGTATACAAATTTGTTTTCATGTTTTTCTCATTTATGGCTTTAATAATTTTTGCCCAAATACTTTTTTTAATGTTTTCCAGCAGAAAAAATACCAAAATCTCAAAAGAAAATCTTTTCAAAATGAATGCATTTCACTTTATAAAAATGTATTATTTTGTTTTATGAACCAACAAAATAATAAGTATTTTTCTTTTTATATATTTTTGTATACTTGAAAGGAGAAAAACAAAAAAAAACATAATTCAGTTGGGCTTTTGTTTACAGTTATTCTTTACATTACCACTCCTTACCCTCGCAAAAAAAGTGAAGAAAATAGTTAAAAGAATACAATAAGAAATAGAAGAAAAAAGAATACAGAAAAAACCTAAATTATTTAAAGAAAATTTGCAAAATTTTAAAGTAGTATTTCTGACTACTTTTTTAGGATATTTTGCTTGAATATCAATAATTTAAAAAAAGTAGTATTTTACTACTATTTTTAAAAAAGTAAATTTTTATAGTTTTTGACTATAGAAATGTTATTTTTTCAAAAAAAATCTAACAAATACTGAAAATTTCATGTTAAAAAAAGTAGTGTTTTCTACTACTTTTTTAAAAAATACCCTATTTTTTAGAATTTTCTTTGAAAATTATAAGAAATTGTTTAAATTGCTTAAAATAACACGTTTTAAGAAATTTTTGCTTCAATATTCTCAATTTTAAAAAAGTAGTATTTTACTACTATTTTTGAAAAAGTAAATTTTTTTAGATTTTTTCTATAGAACATTTTATGTTAGAAAAAGTAGTATTTTTTCCATTTTTTTTAAATAATTTATTTTTTAAAAAATTTATTAAAAAAGTTTTAGAAATTGTTAAAATTGCTTAAAATAAGATGTTTCAAGAAATTTTTAATCAAATACTAACATTTTTAAAAAAGTAGTATTTTACTCCTTTTTTTTTAAATAGTAAATTTTTGTAGTTTTTGTCTATATAATTGTAGTTATTGCAAAAAATTTAAATAAATGCTAAAAAATTTATTTGAGAAAAAGTAGTATTTTCTACTACTTTTTTAAAAAATAACTGATTTTTTCAGGATTTTCTTTAAATATTAATCGAAATTGCGTAAATTACCTAAATTAACATGTTTTTAGAAGTTTTTACTCAAATACTAACTTTTTAAAAAAGTAGTATTTTACTACTATTATTAAAAAAAGTGATTTTTCGTACGTTTTATCTATAGAAATGTTGTTGTTACAAAAAATTCAAACAAATGCTAAAAATTTCTTTTTAGAAAATGTAGTATTTTCTACTACTTTTTGCAAAAATATCGTATTTTTCAAAATTTGTTTAAAAAAAGTAAAGAAATTGTTTAAATTACTTAAAATATGTTATTATAAGAAATGTTTTTTCAAATACTAACATTTTTAAAAAAAGTAGAATTTTAACTACTTTTTTTAAATACCTACTTTTTAAGGTTTTTTGTCTCTTAAAGTATAAACTAAGAACTTCATAAAATTCTTTTAAATTCCAATTCATATTCTGAGTTTGTTTAAGTAAACATATTATTATGTTCAAACTACTCACACTCCAAATCCATTTAAATATATACCATTACATTATATCTACACATGTGATTACATCTACTACTCCCTTTTCTTCTCTTATAAAATAAATTATTCCAACATTCTCTACATTCATACATTAATTTATACATATTCATCTGTATGTTTATTTTCATTTACAGTCGTATACATGTTTCTGTCATAAATACTTCATCATCATAAATATTCATAAAAAAAATATGAAAAGCAGAAATAAGATGACTATAATGTTGATGAAAGTTGAAAAAAAGAAAGGATGTGTATAAATTTATGTTATTAACAATATTTGCTTTTTGTGTTAATAAACATACTCTGGGTTCTGGTTTGTTTTATCTACTGGACAACTAATCTTCATTTGGCAAAAATTTAAATTAATGTAAAATAACCTTTAAATAAAATTTAAAGGTTAAATTAACTTTAAAGTTAAATTTTAAAACAAATTAAAGTTATTTCATGTGGCATTACACTAAGGCAGCCATTTTTGTTGTTTATACTTTAATAGCTTGCCAACAAGTCAACAAAACAAACAGTTTTTCAAAATCTAAAAATAAAATTTAACCATCAAAACACATACACACAGTAAAACCTGTGTTTATTAACACATACACACTTTCCTCACAGTTGTCAAAAATAAGTATGAGAATGAGACCCTTTTTCTCAAGAGACTTTTCTTAAAAGGCATCACTAAACAAATATCACACACAGCCATACATACACATCACAAACATACAAAGAAAAAAGTTAAAATAAAACTTTACTACACACAACAAATTAAAGTAAAACAAAGCAAAGGCAATAAGTTAAAGGTCAAAATCAACATTTAAAGTAAATAATCTTGCAGAGTTAATCAAAAATACAGTTAGTACATACATACTTATGTACAGCTGTATATGTTTACTCATATACATATGTATATATACATGTACAAATATGTAAACACATGTTAGTTACTACTATATTTAGTTACACAGTTATTTATCTTAATGTCACCAAAAACTAAAGGTCATTTAAGACAAATACTAATGTTAATACATATAAATAAATGATGTTTTCATATGATTAATTAGATAGCAAAGACGTCATCATTGCTTTGGAATTACTTAGAGAAAGATATGAAATAATATATTCACTAAATTAAGGAAATTTTTCTTAAGAGATGACAGGCTGAGTGGCAATAGAAAAGGAAACAAGTAGACAGCTGTCTAGTTTAAAGTCTGGTTTATAATTTGTTGGATACACTTCACTAAAGTGTAATCAATAGTTTGCTTATAGTCAAGTATAGACTGCTATCTGATCCATAATTAGGGCTGATATGGTCTATAGTGTATGTACTTATAGTCTGTCTCTAGTGTTGCCTAAAGTCTAGTCTATAGTTTGGTCTATAGTATAGTCTCTAGTTAAGACTGTTGTCAATAGTCTGGTAGTCTATAGCCTAGTCTATGGTCTGGTATATAGCCTAATCTATAGTCAGGTCCATAGTCTAATCTATAGTTGGGTCTATAGTGTGATCCATAGTCTATAGTGTAATCAATAGTCTTGTCAACAGTCTGGTGTACGGTGTGATCCATACTCTGGTCTGCAGTCTATAGTGTAATCCATAGTCTGGTCTATAGTGTAATCAATTGTCTGGTCTACAGTCTGGTATATAGTGTGATCCATAGTCTAGTCAATAGTCTGACCTAAAATCTTGTCTATTGTCTGGTTTATAGTCTGTTCAAAAGTCTGGCCTGCAGTCTGATCTTTAGTCTGGTCTATATTTTGGTCTATAGACTAGGTCATAGTCTGTTCTAGTCTGTAGTTTAGTCTGAGACAGCCTTATCTATAGCCTAGTCCATAGCCTAGTCTATAGCCTAGTCCATAGTCTAGTCTATAGTCTAGTCCATAGTCTAGTCCAAAGTGTAGTCTGTAGTCTAGTCCATAGTCTAGTCCAAAGTCTAGTCTATAGTCTAGTCTATAGTCTAGTCTATAGTCTAGTCTATAGTCTAGTCTATAGTCTACTCTATAGTCTAGTCTATAGCCTAGTCTATAGTCTAGTCTATAGTCTAGTCTATAGTCTAGTCTATAGTCTAGTCTATAGTCTAGTCTATAGTCTAGTCTATAGTTTAGTCTATAGTCTAGTCTATAGTCTAGACTATAGTCTAGTCTATAGTCTAGTCTATAGTCTAGTCTAGTCTATATTCTAATCTATAGTATAGTCTAGACTATAGTCTAGACTATAGACTAGACTATAGACTAGACTATAGACTAGACTATAGTCTAGTCTAGACTAGACTATAGACTAGACTTTGGACTAGACTATGGACTAGACTATAGACTACACTTTGGACTAGACTAGACTATAGTCTAGTCTATAGTCTAGTCAATAGTCTAGTCTATAGCCTAGTCTATAGTCTAGTCAATAGTCTAGTCTATAGTCTAGTCTATAGTCTAGTCTATAGTCTAGTCTATAGTCTAGTCTATAGTCTAGTCTATAGTCTAGTCTATAGTCTAGTCTATAGTCTAGTCTATAGTCTAGTCTATAGTCTAGTCTATAGTCTAGTCTATAGTCTAGTCTATAGTCTAGTGTATAGTCTAGTCTATAGTCTAGTCTATAGTCTAGTCTATAGTCTAGTCTATAGTCTAGTGTATAGTCTAGTCTATAGTCTAGTCTATAGTCTAGTCTATAGTCTAGTCTATAGTCTAGTCTATAGTCTAGTCTAGTCTATAGTCTAGTCTATAGTCTAGTCAATAGTCTAGTCTACAGTCTAGTCTATAGGTTAGTCTATAGTCTAGTCCATAGTCTAGTCTATAGTCTAGTCTATAGTCTAGTCTATAGTCTAGTCTATAGCTAGTCTAGTCTATATTCTAGTCTATAGTCTAGCTTCTAGTCTTAGTGTCTATAGTCTAGGTAAGTCTGTCATAGTCTATCTATAGTCTATCTATAGCTATCTATAGTCTAGTCTATAGTTAGTATAGTTATCGATAGTAGTTGACTATATTATAGTCTATAGTCTATCATAGCAGTCATAGTCTAGTCATAGCTAGTCTATAGTCTATAGTCTAGTCTATAGTTAGTCTATAGTCTAGTCTATAGTCTAGTCTATAGTCTAGTCTATAGTCTAGTCTATAGTCTAGTCTAGTCTATATATAGTCTAGTCTTAGTTAGCTATAGTCTAGTCTATAGTCTAGTCTATAGTCATAGTCATAGTCTAGTCTATAGTCTAGTCTATAGTCTAGTCTATAGTCAGTCCATAGTCTTAGTCTATAGTCTAGTCTATAGTCTAGTCTATCGTCTAGTCTATGTCAGTCTAGTCTATACTTTAGTCTATAGTCTAGTCTTATAGTCTAGTCTATAAGTCTGTCTAGTCCTATATTTAGTCTCTAGTCTAGTCTATATTCTAGTCTATAGTCTAGTCTATAGCTTAGTCTATAGTCTAGTCTATAGTCTAGTGCTATAGTCTAGTCTATAGTCTAGTCTATTAGTCTAGTCTATAGTCTAGTCTATAGTCTAGTCTATAGTCTAGTCTATAGTCTAAGTATATACGTTCTAGTCCTATAGTCTAGGTCTATAGTCTAGTCTATAGTCTAGTCTATAGTCTAGTCTATAGTCTAGTCTATAGTCTAGTCTATAGTCTAGTCTATAGTCTAGTCTATAGTCTAGTCTATAGTCTAGTCTATAGTCTAGTCTATAGTCTAGTCTATAGTCTAGTCTATAGTCTAGTCTATAGTCTAGTCTATAGTCTAGTCTATAGTCTAGTCTATAGTCTAGTCTATAGTCTAGTCTATAGTCTAGTCTATAGTCTAGTCTATAGTCTAGTCTATAGTCTAGTCTATAGTCTAGTCTATAGTCTAGTCTATAGTCTAGTCTATAGTCTAGTCTATAGTCTAGTCTATAGTCTAGTCTATAGTCTAGTCTATAGTCTAGTCTATAGTCTAGTCTATAGTCTAGTCTATAGTCTAGTCTATAGTCTAGTCTATAGTCTAGTCTATAGTCTAGTCTATAGTCTAGTCTATAGTCTAGTCTATAGTCTAGTCTATAGTCTAGTCTATAGTCTAGTCTATAGTCTAGTCTATAGTCTAGTCTATAGTCTAGTCTATAGTCTAGTCTATAGTCTAGTCTATAGTCTATAGTCTAGGTCTATAGCCTAGTCTATAGTCTAGTCAATAGTCTAGTCTATAGTCTAGTCTATAGTCTAGTCTATTGTCTAGTCTATAGTCTAGTCTATAGTCTAGTCTATAGCCTAGTCTATAGTCTAGTCAATAGTCTAGTCTATAGCCTAGTCTATAGTCTAGTCTAAAGTCTAGTCAATAGTCTAGTCTATAGCCTAGTCTATAGTCTAGTCAATAGTCTAGTCAATAGTCTAGTCTATAGTCTAGTCTATAGTCTAGTCTATAGTCTAGTCTATAGTCTAGTCTATAGTCTAGTCTATAGTCTAGTCTATAGCTAGTCTATAGCCTAGTCTATAGTCTAGTCTATAGTCTAGTCTATAGTCTAGTCTATAGTCTAGTCTATAGTCTATTCTATAGTCTAGTCTATAGTCTAGTCCATAGTCTAGTCTATAGTCTAGTCTATATTCTAGTCTATATTCTAGTCTATAGTCTAGTCTATAGTCTAGTCTATAGTCTAGTCTATAGTCTAGTCTAGTCTATAGTCTAGTCTAGTCTATAGTCTAGTCTATATTGTAGTCTAGTCTATAGTCTAGTCTATAGTGTAGTCTAGTCTATAGTCTAGTCTATAGATTCTGTATTCCGAAACAAATCAAAAAAATTTTTCGTTTGAAACTTCAGCTCCCACCTCTCCTTTTAATTGCAACATAATAAATATTTAACCTTAAATCTAAATTTATTTAACACCCCACAACTTACCTGTAGGATAAACAATTATTGTAGTGGCACGATTTTTATTTCCGGCTATAAATGTTGCCACCGTTTGGGCAGTTGGAAAGGCGGTGGTTGTTTCCAAATGATGGCTGCCATTCGATAATGACGACACAGCCATATCGGCTGCTGCAGCATAGCCGTCAAATGTGTTTGCCTGCTCAATAACACCACCACTGCTAACACTTCCTCCTCCTGCGGACGTTTTACCACCTATAAGACCATCATATACCTGAGAGTCTAAAGCATGGGAGATGGCAGCGGAAGCGGAATCTGGGGCAGAGTTTGAAAATGATGAAGTATATTGAGCTGTATAATCACTTAGATTTGTTTTAGCCACATGGGCTAAAGTTTTATTGAAAAAATTCTTTATGCTGGTGGTATTAAATGGTATCGTGGGAAAGGAGTTCGTGGAGGTGGAAATGTCAGCAGCTTTATGAGCTGTAGCGGAGGAGGAGGAAGAAGAAGAAGAGGCAAAAGAAGTATTAGAAAATAAGGCAGATTGATGATGTTGTTTCCTTTGTGTAGCCAGACTTTTAGTATTATTATTGGTAACGTCGTCATTCATTATTGTTGGTGTAGTTATAGGCGGCGGCAGCATTATTTATTTTACTACTTCTCCTTTTAAATTTTTTTATTTCGTTTTGTTTCTATTACTAAGTGTTCGGTTGTTGTTTTTTGTTCGTTGTTGTTGGTTTATTTTCCTTTTGAGTAAGAGATTATGTTGATGCCGCTATTATTATTGTTGTTGCTGTTGGGTTTTATTGTTTTTTTCTGCCTTTGATATATTGTCGTTGCATTTGTATTGATTTATATTGACATTTGTGTTGTTTTATATTTTCTTTTTATTTTTCATTATTAAGCAAAAATATTTTTTGTTGTTGCTGCTGCTCTTTTTTATATTTTCTTACATTTTAACTGTCATATTTTAGGATTTACTGTTGATTTTTATGTTTTTGTAATGGTTGGTTAGTCAACATTTTTCTTTTAATATTTTAGGGATTTAAAATTGTTTTTTTTTTCAGTTCAATGTTTATTTATTTTATTGTTGTTTTTTGTAATTAAATTTCTATGGAAACAAGTGTAAATAGTAGTTTATTATTTGAACACACAAAGTCTGTATTTATTTTGCTATAAATTGCAATTTATATTTTGGTTTTCTGCTTTATTTAAAAGATCTTTTGTAAATAGAAATGTTTATGGAATGATTTATTAGTTTGTTTGTTAAAGAATTCACTTCAATTTAAAAAAAAGTTATTGAAGCGTATACTTAATAAATAAATGTGCTTAATAAAATATATTACTCATACGGTCCGTTAAACCTTTAAAATTTGATTTGAAACTGGGAATCTCAACAGAACTATAGCATGGCCTTTGGTCTAGCATCTAGCCTAATATATGGCCTGTTATCTTAACTGGAGTATAGTCTAGTATATAGTCTATAATCAAATTTGTAGTCTCTACTATATTTGTAGTCTACTATTAATATAAACCAGTTTATAGTCTACAGTTAGTTTAGTCCACTGAATAATCCACAGTCTAGTATATAGTCCAGTCCGTAGTCTTGTATAGAGGCTAATCTATAGTCTAGTCCATAGTCTAGTCTATAGTCTATAGTCTAGTCTATAGTCTAGTCTATAGTCTAGTCTATAGTCTAGTCTATAGTCTAGTCTATAGTCTAGTCTATAGTCTAGTCTATAGTCTAGTCTATAGTCTAGTCTATAGTCTAGTCTATAGTCTAGTCTATAGTCTAGTCTATAGTCTAGTCTATAGTCTAGTCTATAGTCTAGTCTATAGTCTAGTCTATAGTCTAGTCTATAGTCTAGTCTATAGTCTAGTCTATAGTCTAGTCTATAGTCTAGTCTATAGTCTAGTCTATAGTCTAGTCTATAGTCTAGTCTATAGTCTAGTCTAGTCTATAGTCTAGTCTATAGTCTAGTCTATAGTCTAGTCTATAGTCTAGTCTATAGTCTAGTCTATAGTCTAGTCTATAGTCTAGTCTATAGTCTAGTCTATAGTCTAGTCTATAGTCTAGTCTATAGTCTAGTCTATAGTCTAGTCTATAGTCTAGTCTATAGTCTAGTCTATAGTCTAGTCTATAGTCTAGTCTATAGTCTAGTCTATAGTCTAGTCTATAGTCTAGTCTATAGTCTAGTCTATAGTCTAGTCTATAGTCTAGTCTATAGTCTAGTCTAGTCTATAGTCTAGTCTATAGTCTAGTCTATAGTCTAGTCTATAGTCTAGTCTATAGTCTAATCTATAGACAAGACTATAGACCAGACTGTATACTATACCAGACTGTCCAGTCTATAGTCTATAGCATAGTCTTTAGTCTAGTCTATAGTCTAGTCTATAGTCTAGTTTATGGTCTAGTCTATTGTTTAGTCTATAGTCAACTCTATAGTCTAGTCTTTAGAATAGTCTTTAGTCTTCTTTATAGTCAACTCTATAGTCTAGTCTTTAGGATAGTCTTTAGTCTTCTTTATAGAGTAATATATAGTCTAGTTTATAGTCTAGTTTATGGTTTAGTCTATTGTTTAGTCTATAGTCAAGTCTATGGTCTAATCTTTAGTCAAGTCTAGTCTTTAATCTGTTCTATAGTCTAGTCTATAATATTCTATTGACTAGTCTATAGTCTATTCTGTAGTATAGTCATGCATATAGTCTAGTCTATAGTCTAGTCTATAGTGTAGTCTATAGTCTGTTCAATAATATATTCGATTTATTAAACAGAAATCCCAAACGGTTATAAATCTGTAATTTAATTACCTTGACAAACTGTATCCAAAAAGTTATTTCTGTAGCTTTCAATTTTAATACTTCATAATTAATTTAAAAGGCTCTCCTTTAATTACTTCCTTTCTTTTTAAAAATAGCAGTAAATTTAATTTGCTCAGTAATGGTAAAGCTATTAAATTACTCGCTGAATATTTGTTATGTGATCCAAAGCGTATGAGTGTTTTTTTAATTTATTTAAAATCTACTTACAATATTTAACATACGCCCCCATGTACAATTGGTATTTGCTCTTTAAACCCCTTTCATTTTAAACTTTAACAGATGAGTGAGTGATGTTGATAAATTAAATTTTCTGCCAACATATGGTAAAATTATTTTAACAAAAAAATATAAATTAAATACAACGTTAATGCGCATTAAGAAAGAAATAAAGTAAATACACTTTTTTTGCACAAAATTTCAAAAGGAAGGAAGACATTTAATACAATTTCTTGGCAATTTGTTAAACAGAGTTAAATGAGTGACATTAAGTTAAGAAAAACGCAAGTATGAATAAAGTATTAACTTTGAAATTTATGTTTAAGTAGGTGGAATTTATTTTCAGATGAATGAGATATTATAAAAGTAAAAAGTATTTATTTTGAAAGGAATATTTGAAAGTTTAAGTTTTAGCAAAAATGTCATTAAAGAAGGAACAAATTTGACAAATTTAAGAAAATAAAATTTGTTTCAATACTTAAGACGAAAACGGAGATGAAATGAGAAGTCAAAAGTCATTTAAATGCAATTTAAAAAGCATTTTTTAAAGAAGTATTTTTTTGAAAAAGTCTAGTCAATAGTCTTGTCCAGCCTAGTCTACCGTCTAGTCTATATTTAGTTCATATTTATATATAGTCTAGTTTGTAGTCTAATCTTTACTCTAGTTTAAAGTCTAGTCTGTACTCTAGTCTTTACTCTAGTCTATGGTCTGGTCTGTTGTCTAGTCTTACTCTATTCTAAAGTCTAGTCTATGGTCTGGTCTATTGTTTAGTCTGTAGTGGAGTATATATTCTAGGGTATATTGTAGTCTATAGTATAGTCTGGTCTACAGTCTAGTCTATAGTCTAGTCTAGTCTAAAGTCTAGTCTATAGTCTAGTCTATAGTCTAGTCTATAGTCTAGTCTATAGTCTAGTCTATAGTCTAGTCTATAGCCTAGTCTATAGTCTAGTCTATAGTCTAGTCTATAGTCTAGTCTATAGTCGAGTCTATAATCTAGTATATAGTCTAGTCTATTGCCTAGTCTATAGTCTAGTCTATAGTCTAGTCTATAGTCTAGTCTATAGTCTAGTCTATAGTCTAGTCAATAGTCTAGTCTATAGTCTAGTCTATAGTCTAGTCTATAGTCTAGTCTATAGTCTAGTCTATAGTCTAGTCTATAGTCTAGTCTATAGTCTAGTCTATAGTCTAGTCTATAGTCTAGTCTATAGTCTAGTCTATAGTCTAGTCTATAGTCTAGTCTATAGTCTAGTCTATAGTCTAGTCTATAGTCTAGTCTATAGTCTAGTCTATAGTCTAGTCTATAGTCTAGTCTATAGTCTAGTCTATAGTCTAGTCTATAGTCTAGTCTATAGTCTAGTCTAGTCTATAGTCTAGTCTATAGTCTAGTCTATAGTCTAGTCTATAGTCTAGTCTATAGTCTAGTCTATAGTCTAGTCTAGTCTAGTCTATAGTCTAGTCTATAGTCTAGTCTATAGTCTAGTCTATAGTCTAGTCTATAGTCTAGTCTATAGTCTAGTCTATAGTCTAGTCTAGTCTATAGTCTAGTCTATAGTCTAGTCTATAGTCTAGTCTATAGTCTAGTCTAGTCTAGTCTATAGTCTAGTCTATAGTCTAGTCTATAGTCTAGTCTATAGTCTAGTCTATAGTCTAGTCTATAGTCTAGTCTATAGTCTAGTCTATAGTCTAGTCTAGTCTATAGTCTAGTCTATAGTCTAGTCTATAGTCTAGTCTATAGTCTAGTCTATAGTCTAGTCTATAGTCTAGTCTATAGTCTAGTCTGTAGTCTAGTCTATAGTCTAGACTACAGTCTAGTCTTTAGTCTAGTCTATAGTATAATCAATAATCTATTCTGTAGTCTAGTCTATAGTCTAGTCTATAATTTAGTTTATAGTCTAATCAATAGTCTATTCTATAGGCTAGACTATACTCTAGTCTATAGTGTAGTCTAGTCTATAATCTAATCTATGGTCTAGTCTACAGCCTAGCCTATGATCTAGCCTATTATATAATATTCAAAGTTGATTCTATTGTTTTTATTCTTTTTTTATAAATTTTTAAAATTTTTCATTATTAATGAAACTTTTTTGTAATCTTTTTTCTTAAATTTCATTAAACATTAGTTTTTTTGTAGTTTTATATATTTTTATTTACAAAAGATTCCTTTTATTTCAATAACTTTCAATTATTTGATTAATATCTTTTCCTTATTTTCTTTTTAAATTGTTTTTATTAACAAACACTTGCAATTTAATTCAATTTATTATTTTTATTAACTAACTATTAATATTGTTATTGAAACCTCTGCTTTTTTTGCTTGTATGTAGTATATCATTCTATTTGCCTGCTGTTTAATATCCCTTTTACTCTCACATCAGTTTGTCATCATCATCATCATCACAATTCACTTTTTAACACTTCATAAAGTTTATAAACAAAGCGCACACACAAGCATTCATCTATACCATACACACAAATCCCTGTTGTTTATCATTTAGTATGTAGTATTTGTTGTTTTTCAATTACATTTCATTTCTATGCAAGTATAGTTGCTTTTGTTGTTATTATTGTGTATTATTTTCTTTTATATTTTATTGTTATTATTACTACTGTACTGTTGTGTTTTAAAACACAATAACACCACACTTTGTCACACACCCACACAAACTCTCAATTTAGCAACCGCAATCATACACTCCTCTCCTGTGGTGTTGATTACAATTCTCTCATTTTTGTTTTTTATTTTTATTACTAACGGTGTAATGTTAAATGTAAACAGGTTTTGTTTATATATTTCTTGTCATCAATCCGTTACTTTAAAATTTAAGAGTGTTGTTATTTTTTTTAATTATACACTTTTGTTTTCCGCCGTTTTTTCTTATTCAATGTTCCACGTATCCTTGCCGCCTTAAAACTAAAATAAATTTTGCAATGTTATTTGCTTTTATACTTGCCACACTTTCCAGTGTTGCTAAAGAGTACAACAAAAGAGAATATTCTATTTATCTTTGAAAAGCGAAAAACTTAAGAGTATTTAATATTAAAAGAAAAATGTTTAGAGGGAAATCTCTTAATATTTTCAAACTTAAATAATACAATTTTTATTACTATTGCTATAAATAATCTTCAAAAGTGCATATTTAAAAGAAATTGTTAATAAATTTAAAATTTATTAGAATATTTAATTTACATTTGTTTAAAATGAGTCAATGGTAAATTGACTTGGCCATAAATTTGACTCTGTACTAGACTATAGTCTAGACTGTAGACTAGACTAGAAACTAGCCTATAGACTAGACTAGACTATAGACTAGACTATAGGCTAGACTATAGACTAGACTATAGACTAGACTATAGACTAGACTATAGACTAGACTATAGACTAGACTGTAGGCTAGACTATAGACTAGACTATAGACTAGACTATAGACTAGACTATAGACTAGACTATAGACTAGACTATAGACTAGACTATAGACTAGACTATAGACTAGACTATAGACTAGACTATAGACTAGACTATAGACTAGACTATAGACTAGACTATAGACTAGACTATAGACTAGACTATAGACTAGACTATAGACTAGACTATAGACTAGACTATAGACTAGACTATAGACTAGACTATAGACTAGACTATAGACTAGACTATAGACCAGACTAGACTAGACTATAGACTAGACTAGACTAGACTATAGACTAGACTATAGACTAGACTATAGACTAGACTATAGACTAGACTATAGACTAGACTATAGACTAGACTATAGACTAGATAGACTATAGACTAGACTATAGACTAGACTATAGACTAGACTATAGACTAGACTAGACTAGACTAGACTAGACTATAGACTAGACTATAGACTAGACTATAGACTAGACTATAGACTAGACTAGACTAGACTATAGACTAGACTATAGACTAGACTAGACTAGACTATAGACTAGACTATAGACTAGACTAGACTAGACTATAGACTAGACTATAGACTAGACTATAGACTAGACTATAGACTAGACTATAGACTAGACTATAGACTAGACTATAGACTAGACTATAGACTAGACTATAGACTAGACTATAGACTAGACTATAGACTAGACTATAGACTAGACTATAGACTAGACTATAGACTAGACTATAGACTAGACTATAGACTAGACTATAGACTAGACTATAGACTAGACTATAGACTAGACTATAGACTAGACTATAGACTACTATAGACTATACTATAGACTAGACTTAGACTAGACTATAGAGACTAGACTATAGACTAGACTAAGACTATAGACTAGACTACTAGACTATAGACATAGACTATAGACTAGACTATAGACTAGACTATAGACTAGACTATAGACTAGACTATAGACTAGACTATAGACTAGACTATAGACTAGACTATAGACTAGACTATAGACTATAGACTATAGACTAGACTATAGACTAGACTAAGAATGACTAGACTATAGACTAGACTATAGACTAGACTATAAACTAGACTATAGACTAGACTATAGGCTAAACTATAGACTAGACTATTAACCTAAACTGTAGACTACACTTTTTTTTTATTCAATTTTTTTATTCAATTTAGAATTTTTATTGATGTTCAATTTCTTGTATATTTGTTTAAGTATTTTTTATTGTTTATAACACATTGTTTTATGTTATTAAACAATTTTTTTTAATTTTCTATTTTATGATATCATTTCTTCTCGCCAGCAAATGACCTTAAACTTGTTTAATCATTTAAGCATCAAAATATTCTTAATTTTTATTTCAATTTCCATCAAAATTTATTTAACACTTTCAATATGTTAATCATTGATTCAGTAAAAAAAAATCAAATTTCCTAACACTTTAATAAAAAAAAGAATATTTAATGCAATTTAGTTTGTTTGATATTAAATTTAAACTTGTGACGTAAATGTTTTTATTTTGATTGGATTTTGGCTTAGTTTTATTTTATTAATAGGGAAAGAAAACAACAATTTAGTTTTGTTAAAATAGAAAAGAAATTGCCATAAATATTAAAGAATTTTTAATTTAATTTTGCTAAATTTATTAGGACTTTTAAAAGTTTTATAAATTTTCTTTAAATTTCTTTAATGGTTAAGCAATTGCATTGTTTACATTTTGTATAAAAAACAAAATAATTTCATTTTATATGGCAACATTGTTGTCAACTCTTGACAATGTCAACATTGTTTTGTTTACATTTTTGGTGCATTTTCTCTTTGACAGTTGCAGCATTTGCAAATAAAGCTAATTTTTTAAAGAATCTTTGGTAAATATGTTTTTTTATAGATTTTACTGTACATTTTATTATAAATATATTATTAAATTTAGAAATCTAATAAATTTTCTTTAAATTAATTTAATGTACATCAAAATTCAATTTACTGTTTCAATAGCTTTCTCACATTACCAATTTGTTTGTTTGTTGTGTTTTGCTTTCATTTGTTTTTGTTTGAAAAATCACGTTTAGTGAAAATAAACATTTTCCTAAAAGGCCATAAACATTTCAGAAAATTTTCATTTTCAATTAAAATTTAATTTACGAGCCATTTGTTAGTAATTAATGAGTCATTTAAGGCAAATATAAAAAAATCTATTAATAAACTGTGAAAAACATTGGTTACCCTTTCTATGACCCCTACATGTCAATTAGGCAACTAAAGTAATTTGGTTTTAAACCTGAATACTTTATTATTAATAAAATTGTTGTAGACATTTTAAAATTTATCCAGAATAAGGGTTTTTTTATTATTTGTCTAATTGATTAAATGTCAAATAAATTCGTCGAAGTTTAGACAAAAACCCTTATGCCACTTTTCTGTTTTATAGCAGAGAAACCTTTCTCCAAACAAAGACATAAACCTTTAAATAAGTTAAGTAACAAACCCAAGCAAAGACAGAGGTTTCAAGTTAATTCCCTCGACAAAAATTACGATTTCAGCCGTTAACGACAAGCGACAAACAGCAAGTTTGATTTGTTTGTGTTTAAACAGTTTGCCGAATAATTAGAAGAACATTTTAAATAATTAAGGGAAACTCTAGGCTATAGACTAGACTACAGATTAGACAATATACAAGGCTATAGGTTAGACTATATACTGGACTATAGACTATAATATAGACTACAAAACAGACTAACCTATGGAAAAGAATTTCACTAGATTCGACATTAGAGTATATAATAGACTAAACTGTAGTCTAGTCTATAGACTAGACTATAGACTAGACTATAGACTAGACTATAGACTAGACTAGACTTGACTATAGACTAGACTATAGACTAGACTATAGACTAGACTATAGACTAGATTATAGACTAGACTATAGACTAGACTATAGACTAGACTATAGACTAGATTATAGACTAGACTATAGACTAGAATATAGACTAGACTATAGACTAGACTATAGACTAGACTATAAACTAGACTATAGACTAGACTATAGACTAGACTATAGACTAGTCTATAGACTAGACTATAGACTAGACTATAGACTAGACTATAGACTAGACTATAGACTAGACATAGACTAGACTATAGACTAGACTATAGACTAGACTATAGACTAGACTATAGACTAGACTATAGACTAGACTATAGACTAGACTATAGACTAGACTATAGACTAGACTATAGACTATAGACTATAGACTAGACTATAGACTAGACTATAGACTAGACTATAGACTAGACTATAGACTAGACTATAGACTAGACTATAGACTAGACTATAGACTAGACTATAGACTAGACTATAGACTAGACTATAGACTAGACTATAGACTAGACTATAGACTAGACTATAGACTAGACTATAGACTAGACTATAGACTAGACTATAGACTAGACTATAGACTAGACTATAGACTAGACTATAGACTAGACTATAGACTAGACTATAGACTAGACTATAGACTAGACTATAGACTAGACTATAGACTAGACTATAGACTAGACTATAGACTAGACTTTAGACTAGACTATATGCTAGACTATAGACTAGACTATATGCTAGACTATAGACTAGACTATAGACTAGACTATAGACTAGATTATAGACTAGACTATAGACTAGACTATAGACTAGACTATAGACTAGACTATAGACTAGACTATAGACTGGACTATAGACTGGACTATACTATAGACTAGACTATACTATAGACTAGACTATACTATAGACTAGACTATACTATAGACTAGACTTTAGACTAGACTATAGGCTATACTATAGACTATACTATAGACTAGACTATAAACTAGACTATAGACTAGACTATAGACTAGAATATAGACTAGACTATAGACTAGACTATAGACTAGACTATAGACTAGACTATAGACTAGACTATAGACTAGACTATAGACTAGACTATAGACTAGACTATAGACTAGACTATAGACTAGACTATAGACTAGACTATAGACTAGACTATAGACTAGACTATAGGCTAGACTATAGACTAGACTATAGACTAGCCTATAGACTAGACTATAGACTAGACTATAGACTAGACTATAGACTAGACTATAGACTAGACTATAGACTAGACTATAGACTAGACTATAGACTAGACTATAGACTAGACTATAGACTAGACTATAGACTAAACTATAGACTACTAGACTAGACTATAGACTAGACTATAGACTATACTGTAGACTATACTATAGACTAGACTATAGACTAGACTATAGAATAGACTATAGAATAGACTATAAACTAGACTATAGACTAGACTAAATTTTTGAGGTCGAAGGTTTTTGCTCTTTTAATTATTTTGAGCAGAATTTTGTTCCAATATGTTGATTAGGAGTAGCTTCTGTTACAAGTTGTTATCTTGACGAATAAGTTTCAAAATTAAAGAAATTTTGAGGTTATGTGACAAATTTTTTAAATTTTGATACTAACCTGTTTATTTGTAAGTTTTTTTTTTTAATAAAATAAAACAAATTTTCTACATTTTCTTTAAGTTGCTAAAGTAGTTATTAGTTTATTTCTTTAAGGCCTTAAACCCAAAGCAATTTTTAGGGGATTTTGAAACTTTTTTCAAATTTTATAAATGTAAAATAAAAGTACATAGTTTTTTTTTAACCGTTTACATATTTTTTCATTAAATAATATATTTTTCAAACAATAAACTTTAAGCAACTAATTTTACAAAATTTATTTTTATAAAAACATATAATTTTTATTATTTTGCTGTTAATGTAAGCAATTTAAAAATAAAACTTGTTAGTAAGTTTAGATAGGTAGTTTTTTACAATTTATATATAATCCAAAGATATCACAAAACAAGACTTTTTTCTAGTTCTCATACATTCTTTCAGTTTCATTATTTTTAGGTTATTTTTTGGGGGCGTAGATTTTTTTTTTAATAATTAAAGAAATAAAGTAGTTTTTTAATAAAAAATATATAAAATAAAAATGATATTAAAATAAAAGTAATTTAAAGAGAATAAACTCCTTTGCAAGGCGAATTTAAATAAGGTGGCAAAGCAGCCGTTTTAAAGCCAATTTTGAGATTTGTTTTAGGCAAAGTGAGAGCTCTATAGTTTGACATTTATAGGAGAATTTTAAGATTTAGGATAAACTTTAAAAGGAGAGAAAAAGATATCTGCTTTATAGGCAGATATGAAGAACTATAAAACTCTATTGAGATGGAACTTTCCTACAAATTTGGTCGCTTGGAAAGCCACCTCGTTTTAAACTGGCCTTGCAAAAGTTCGTATTTTTTCGATTTATTACTTTATACTACATTCTGTATCCAATTAAGAGCTCCTCTAATGCGACGCAAACGAGCACGTGAAAGAAAACTGCTTATCAATAGATATTCCACATAAGTACGGCGTCCTGACTGCTGGTAATTGAAAGAGGATGAACTCAAAGATGGATTACTGTCCCCAGATTTCGATTCACACATAATTTTAGTCGTTAAAGATAAAAGCCATTGTAAAATCTGCCAAAGAGATGGAAAAATCATTTAAACAATGCTTTTGCTTTAATAAATCGTTTTACTTACCTCTGGACTGTTGGGCATGCCACCCATTTTTAGCCATTGGGAGGGAGCCCATAAAAATAATTGCATTACATTGGCCGCAATATCGGGACTAACACGTTTTGAAGGATTGGGGGATAAAATATTGTAAATTAATTGCTGCACTAGGGAGGGACACTCATCTGTTAAGGCTGGCAAATCTTCATCCTTATAATCTGAATTACGTAGAGAAAAAGTTTGTTCCCCCTTGGCCACTCTAAGACCGCCACTGGAGGAGTAAAAGGGATTGGGTAAACCAAAAATTTCATAAGCTATGGCGCCACAAGCCCACAAATCAGCTTTGGCATAATTTAATACCGCAAAAGGACCCGGCTGTTTGTTTATTATCTCGGGAGCCATTAAGGCAGCATTGCCACCTTTATCTATATCATAAGAAGTATAAGGCACTTGTAGGCCATGCACCTTATCCGCCAGACAACAGCCAAAATCCGATAATACCAATATAGGAGGAGAATCATCATCATTAAGTTCAATTAAAATATTATCCGATTTCAAATCACGATGGGCTATGCCATGGCGGCTAATGTGGGCTACAGCCTCCAACAATTGGGTCAACAACAACAGCTTGGTTCTAGTGGTCAATTGATGAGAATCCAAAAATGCTCTCAAACTATAATCATAACGTTTCATTAGCAAATACAAAGACATATTGCGACCATAACCATTGGGATTTATGCGCTGCGGTTGGGCTATGGGATACAGAAGATGGCCATCGGGAAAATTGCCCACTTCATCGCAGAAAAAGCCATACATGCAGACTATATTAGGGTGTGGGGGTAAAATTAAAGTTTGATCTTGTATATGCTGCTCCCAAGCCTCGGCGGCGTCATTAATATAACGTTGGCGGGCGGGTACAGTTTCCTTATACATGGCCCTTAAGATAGCCATGGCATTGCTCTGTATGTCATAATTAAACATCATTTTTAAGGCCAAAGGATAGCGGCGTATACTGACAGAGGTGGAAGGATCCATAGGTTGCTGTTTTAAAGGAAATTATAAAAATTATTACAATTACTCTTTATATTTGTGAAAAACCCTCAACTTACCAATTGTGCTGTTCCTGGCTCAACGTTTTGTGTTTGTGATGCTGTAGACGGTAGTTTGAAATCCTTTTTATCTTCTAAGGCCTGCTGTTGGCGTAATGATTGTTCCAGTAACGTGGCAGCAGAGGTTTGACTAAACATTTGCACATTATCTACCGAGCCACCAAAATTATGAACAAATCTCGACATATTCTGTAAAGGAGACATGTATTCTGGCCTAAAAGATTGCTGCTGTAAAGGTTGTTTACGTTCTGGAGATAAGCTAGTTGTTTCTACAAAATCCTCAGTTTCCATGGGTTGTGGCGATTGATTCTTTAAGGCTGCTGCATATACCACAGCCGCACAACCTTTAGCTATGGCTGGACCTATAGACAACTTATTAATACTAAAGTTAGAGTCTAAAGTCTCCGAAATTTCATCATAATTCCAAGTATTCTGCAAACGATTGGCGGCCTCACGTATTTCCCAGCAAACACCCTCCAATTCATCTTCTTTAGTTAAAACCCCAGCGCCGGAAGCTAAACTAACACCAATGAGGGCGAAAAAGGGAGCGGAATCACCATAAAACAGTTTTTTGGTAGCTTGGGTACGCAATTCAGCGGAATAGGTGGTGGTAACACGATTTAAAATATTATCAATAAATAGTTTACGTGCCTGCTGACCAAAACGGAAAATACCAGCCGAACGTGGTACACTGGCGGCCAACTGGCCAGTGCCAGTTGCTGAGGCACCAGAGGCACCCCCACTCAAAGAGTTTAAGGCATTTTTAGCAGCCCATTTCTAAACAAAAAAGTGAACAAATAAGAATAGAAACTTTTTCATCTTCTTTCTTTATAACTCTACTTACTCTTCCCGCTGCAGCCGCTACTGAAGGTAGACGTTGTTGGCGTGTATTTCTTGTTTGATTTTGTTCCAAAATGTTGGTGTGTATATCTCGTTTCCAATAGGTCTGAAGTAAATAACGACCATGTTTGACTAGTCGTGTGGTTAACAAACGTACAGACATAATGCCTTGACAACTCCCTCAAACAAATAATAGATTTTTAGCAACACACTGTGCCAAGCAACAGCCTTTAAAGAAATTTTCAAAGAAATTATAAAATATTAATTGCGTTTTAATTTTTTATGCTTAAAATTGCTCATAAGCTTTTCTATATTATATATTTCTACTCACCTCTTTGTTATATTGAGTTTATTTTGTTTTTTGGGTTTAATTTTCACTTATATCTTGCAATTAACACCGCTTTTTGCGGCTGTCTCTGGGCAAAACATTGAAGATTCAACAACACCTCCCCCACCGAAAATGGGAAAGTTTTTAAACTATTTGTTATTTGTTTGTTGTTTTCCTAAATGTATTGTTCTTATTAGATAATCATTCACGTCGTTTATTTCTAAAAATGTTGCTAGAATCTGCAATTGTAAAAAATTTTGTCATGGTTGAAAGATTTTCTTTTAAAAATGCTTCAATTTTATAAATTTTTTAAAAATTTCTTGTTAAAAACAAACAAATATAAAAGCTATACCTGTTTTTTACAGAATTCTATAATTATTTGTTAAAATTTGTAGAGAATTTTCCCAAAATTTCGTTTTGTTTGTGTCGATGATGCGTATTTTGTGAAAATGAACAGCTGGAGCTGTCAATTATTTTGTAGAACAAGTTAATTATGTTAACACTTTAAAGTGAATGCTTATAACAAAGAAGGAAAAAAGAAGAAGAGCAAGAAAAAATGTAAACAAATGTTATCAATTAATGGGGAATTGTTGATAACAAAAGGAGAAAAGGCAAATTGTATAAGATAAGCTTACGTCAACAGCTAATACACAACAACTGTCAAACTTTATAAATAAAAACAATACGATCACTAACAAATCTTTCAAAAAAATAAGCTTTATGCAAAGATTATCTTTTAAAAATTCTACTAGATTTGTAATTTGCATTAAAAACAACAAAACTGCAATCTAAAAAACGTAAACAAAAGTTATTTGGCCCTGGTTTTTGTTGCAAAACTTGGTACATATTTTTAAAAGATTTTTTAAATTTCTTTTGTTTTTTCAGCCTTTTAATTTGTTCAAAACAGTTTTTTAATTATATAAACTACAAAATTGTCCAAGATTTTGTAAATTTAAAAATTGTTATTATCAAATAAATTAAGTTTTTTATTTCATTTTTACTTATTTATTTTTCTTTATTAATTTAAAACAATTTCTGCTAATTTATTAAAAAAAACACAAACACTTATTACACACTTTAGCCTCTTCTTTGTCATTATTTTCTAAAATCAAACAATTTTGGTATAACATCACCACATTTAGCCGACAACTTAATATCGGCTAAATGATCCGCTCTTGTCTCTCCTATATTAACTATAGCCACCGGCAAATTCAAATCTTTAGTTTGCAGAACCATACGATAACCCGAAAATACCAAAAGGCTCGAACCCAACACCAATAAACCATCTCCTGAGTAAATCATTTCTGCTATACGATTAACTCGCACCTTGGGCACATTATCACCAAAGAATACAATCTCGGGCTTTAAATGGCCATCACATTGCGGACAGGGAGGTATACGAAAATTATCTATATATTCTTGAGGTATTTCAACATCACCATCAGGACGTATCATATCAGGAGCATCTTTAAATTCTGGATTTAACGTATTTAAAATAGTTTGGAACTCATGACGATCGATGCGATAGTCACAGTTTAAACATTTTACCACATAACCGGAGCCATGAAGTTCTACAACATTTTTGCTGCCCGCTTTGCTGTGCAAACGATCCACGTTTTGTGTAACCACACATTGAAGACGAGCCTCACGCTCAAAACGAGCCAAAGCATGATGGGTGGCATTGGGTTCGGTGCTGGAGAAATTGGGCCAACCTACAAAGTTGCGGGCCCAGTAGCGACGACGTACAGCAGCAGACTTAACAAATTCCATATGTTGTATAGGTTTATGATTAGTGCGGGCATATAAACCTACTCCAGCAGAGCGATAATCAGGGATGCCTGTATAAAATACCAATTAATTTAATAAGTATATAAATATTAACTAAAAATAGCCTCACCCGATTCTGTGGATATTCCCGCTCCCGTTAAAACCACTATATTAGGTTTATCCATTAGGAAATCTTGCAATTTTTTAACTTCCTCTTCCACCACTGGCTGATGCTGAGGCACATACTGCTGTTTGGCTGCCGACCATTCGGGAAATTTACAGCGTATACGCATTAATTGAGTAAAACGCATTTTTATTTAATAAATTTTAGTTAATTTAGATAAAATTTATTTATTAGTAAAATTGTAATTGTTTTTTTTTTTTTTAAACAAATCACATAACATAATAAAAACCAAAGTATAACATAAAAACAATAATAAATAAAAAAGAAAACAAACAGCTGGTTTAATAGTTTACAGTGAATGTTCACTCAACAAGAAGCTGTAAGAAAACATTCAGAAATATTACCATATTGTTAGTAAAAATAATTAACAAAATGCAATTTTTAACAAATTTTAATATTAATTAAAGGATAAATAAACTTTTTTTAATTAAAGATTATAATTTTTGTTGTTTTAAACTAAAATATAATTGATTTCTCATTAATATATTAACAAAGATTTTTGGAAGTTATTTATTTTTTTGCTAACATCTGGCCACCTTATTAAAAATGCCAATTGGCCTTGTCAAAGCGAATTCGCTGATTAGTTGAGAAAATGCATTCATTGTGATTGGTTGTAAAAGCGCTGTTATAACAAAAAAGAATAAAAAATTATAATTTTGTGTAACTTTATTTAAATTTAATAAGAAAAAGCCGGTTGTTTTGAAAAAACAGAAATTTAATAAGAATATCAATCAATTGCTCAATGCTAAAAACAAAAGAGAAAACTAAACACGCCTGATTTATTTGTTCTCATAAATTTAACTTAAAAAAATAAACCCAACAAAAAAGCATTAAACAAAACAAACGTTAAGAAATAATATAATATAAAGAAAAATTCTTGTGTTTTCTGATAAAACAAAAATTGTGTGTCATCGTTTCAAAACGTTATAATTGTTGTTATTGGAGTTCTGCTTACTGGATTGTTGTTGTTGCTACAGTGTGTGTTTTTTGTGACTTACGTTTTATGCTTTTCTTGAAAAAGAAAAGCAATTAAAAAAACTAAAATAAAACCAACAACAAAACTAAGCAATTGTTTTTACCGTTTTAACAGCATTTCTTTCTTTTTTATTTGTTTGTGCAAAATTATTAACAAATCAGCAATTAAAATTCAATAAGCAAATTGTTCCACCACAAAGTAGCAGTTGTCGTATAAAGAAGTTCTGTAAACCAGCAAAAATATGTCGGAAACTAAAAGTGTAAGTTTAAAAATAAATCCTTTTCAGTTTAACCCAACATTTCCTTTTAACAATTTATAAGCTATTCTTAGATTTTTTTAATTATAACCAACCATATTTTTTTTGTCAAGGGCGCGGTTATCTTGTAATTTTTTGCCATAAATTTTGCTACTGTTGCGTTTTTTTCTGTTTTATTTTTTGCTTTTTGCTGTTCATATTTTCTATGTGTGGCTGTGTGTATTAGTTTTGGGATTCTCCTGTTTCTTTGTTTTATTATTGTTGTAGTTTTTGTTCTTTTTATTTTTGGTTAACTTGTTTTTTGTTGTTGTTGTTGAGTTATTTTCGCCGTGTCAATGTTTTCTCCTTGAAATACAACTCTGTATTTGTTGTCAGTTGTTTTGTGGTGTTATTATTGTTGTTGCTATAAAGCAAAATAAAGAAAAAAGGATCGTTAAAAGTAATTATTCTAAAGGAATGAGTTCTTTTTTGGAGAGTTTTGATATTTTTGTAACCAAATTTACAGACATTGGATTTTTTAACTAAATTACTTAAAAGTAAAACTTATTTTAAAAAATTATTTACTATAGAATAGACTAAAGAATAGACTTTAAAGTAGACCTTAGACTATGCTAAAGAATAGACTATAAAATAGATTATAAACTAAACTATAGGTTATACTATAGACTAGACTATAGACTAGACTATAGACTAGACTATAGACTAGACTATAGACTAGACAATAGACTAGACTATAGACTAGACTATAGACTAGACTATAGACTAGACTATAGACTAGACTATAGACTAGGACTATAGACTAGACTATAGACTAGACTATAGACTAGACTATAGACTAGACTATAGACTAGACTATAGACTAGACTATAGACTAGACTATAGACTAGACTATAGACTAGACTATAGACTAGACTATAGACTAGACTATAGACTAGACTATCGACTAGACTATCGACTAGACTATCGACTATACGTATAGACTAGACTAGACTATAGTCTAGACTATAGACTAGACTATAGACTAGACTAGAATATAGACTAGACTCTAGACTAGACTATAGACTAGACTATAGACTAGACTATAGACTAGACTATAGACTAGACTATAGACTAGACTATAGCCTAGACTATAGACTAGACTATAGACTAGACTATAGACTAGACTATAGACTAGAATATAGATAGACTATAGACTAGACTATAGACTAGACTATAGACTAGACTATAGACTAGACTATAGACTAGACTATAGACTAGACTATAGACTAGACTATAGACTAGACTATAGACTAGACTATAGACTAGACTATAGACTAGACTATAGACTAGACTATAGACTAGACTATAGACTAGACTATAGACTAGACTATAGACTAGAATATAGACTAGACTATAGACTAGACTATAGACTAGACTATAGACTAGACTATAGACTAGACTATAGACTAGACTATAGACTAGACTATAGACTAGACTATAGACTAGACTATAGACTAGACTATAGACTAGACTATAGACTAGACTATAGTCTAGATTATAGACTAGACTATAGACTAGACTATAGACTAGATTATAGACTAGACTATAGACTAGACTATAGACTAGAATATAGACTAGACTATAGACTAGACTATAGACTAGACTATAGACTAGACTATAGACTAGACTATAGACTAGACTATAGACTAGACTATAGACTAGACTATAGATTAGACTATAGACTAGACTATAGACTAGACTATAGACTAGATTATAGACTAGATTATGGACTAGACTATAGACTAGACTATAGACTAGACTATGGACTAGACTATAGACTAGATTATAGACTAGACTATGGACTAGACTATAGACTAGACTATAGACTAGACTATAGACTAGACTATAGACTAGACTATAGACTAGACTATAGACTAGACTATAGACTAGACTATAGACTAGACTATAGACTAGACTATGGACTAGACTATAGACTAGACTATAGACTAGACTATAGACTAGACTATAGACTAGACTATAGACTAGACTATAGACTAGACTATAGACTAGACTATAGACTAGACTATAGACTAGACTATGGACTAGACTATAGACTAGACTATAGACTAGACTATAGACTAGACTATAGACTAGACTATAGACTAGACTATAGACTAGACTATAGACTAGACTATAGACTAGACTATAGACTAGACTATAGACTAGACTATAGACTAGACTATAGACTAGACTATAGACTAGGCTATAGACTAGGCTAGACTAGACTATAGACTAGACTATAGACTAGACTATGGACTAGATTATAGACTAGACTATAGACTAGACTATGGAC